GGTGTCCTTTTTCTAAAGGCGTCATGTCTGGTTGCTGTCCCTTCTTGTCTTGATTCCAGTCTTTCTTGGACGTCATCTGTCTCTCCAGAGGTCACTCATCTATGCAGCCTTTCCTAAATGTCACTGGTTCTTAGATATGCAGGTACCTAAAACAGCTTTATTGTTTCTGCTACTGGACCGTCGAGTCATCAGCCGGGTCCATCCGTCTCCAGAGGTTTTATAACCTAACCCGGATCGCCCTAGGGATGGGACAACAGAAGCTGATCAATCTACCCCCGACCATCAGCTTCTATTTTCTCTTCTAACTGTGAGTAATACAGTTACTACAAATTCAATTTATTTCATTTAAGAGTCAAGGACAGATAGCTCTAACTAAATAAAAAAAACTCTGGTGTGCAGTGTATAGATGGGTCGGGTCCTTAACTTCAAAGATATGGTCAACAGAGGTGATTAATACAATACGAATTGTTCCACTAACTTCAGAAAAGGCATCTAATTAGAACATTATTTAAAATTTCAACATATCTTTATGAATGCTTTTTGTAACCTAATAAGTATATCGATGATGTGAAAATAGTCAACTTTTATATATTAAGGTGTTCAACTTTCCTACAAATGAAATAGTTTTGAAATAGTTTGAGAGTTTTAAAGTGTTGATTCATATACTCTAGATACTCAGTTTTAATCAAATTCCATTAGACAGGCATTGATGTACATAGGTCTTGTGTTGAGGAAACGAAATAATACATAAAGCTCTCCAGCTGATTCCAGATAATTCCTAAAAGTTTTTTTATTGATAAAAATTACCCAGGTACTATGTTTATTTCTTGTATTGTTTGTTGTGGTGAGCACATACCCTGTTTTGTATCCATTCACTCAAAATTAAAATAATAATAATAATAAAAAATAATAATAAAATAAATAAATAAAAAGTTAATTTGTAATTTTATAAGGGACCTCTCTACACTGCTCTCAAATATAAGGATATTTCTATATAATTAGACTGATCCACCATATGATATTAAATAAAATAAATTGTAATATTCATTTATATATTTCATAATTTATAATTAATTCAAGTATTCTAAACATTATATTAGACCTAGATAGTAAAATTCAAAACTTTATTTATATGTATTTTCCCCTTTGAGTAGGCAACACGATTTTTCTTTATCAGTACTTCGTTGTTTTGAAGATTTTTCCGTCAAGTGGTAAAAAAAGGCACGCGCCTTATGTTAAAAATGAACTAAATAATTTTTACGCTGTATACATAATTTTCCCAAAGTTCAACATTTCATCAATTTTCATCAGTGTAAAGATGGTCCTTAATTTTACAAAGTAATTGTAATTCAATTATTTACATGTCTCAAAAATTCTGTATAGTTAATTTAAAGATTAAAGAAAAAACAAAGTTAGAGGAGTTCTTGGAACCAGGTTTTTGTAGAAATCATCATTTTTTGACGCGTAAAATATAAGAGGAGTATCGAGAAACAGGTTTTTGTAGAGAAATAAGGCGTCGTTATTCGACACCAAATTGGCCCTCTGGATGAAAACGAAAACTCTGAAAACTTTTATAGGACACGACCAATCATTCGAAAAGATGAATTAGCAAATGCCAAATTCGTTAGAGGAGTTTTTGGATTATGGTTTCTTTAAAAAACGTTTGCTGTGCAAAACCGTATTGCACATCTACAAAACACCACCAATCACATTCAAAAGATACGGTAATTAGGCTATGCTTAAAATGCACGAGGAGTATGGGAACATGTTTTTTTTTCCCCCTTTATTTACTCCGACTTGGCCTCCCGGATGAAATATGAAAATTCCGATACCTTATTGCATATTTACAGGATACCACTAAACTTGTGTATTCTAATTCGTGGGGTCAATGTTCGTGTGTAAGCAAAATTACTTCTTCGCGGGGACGTAATTTCGTGGGTTATTCGTTTATACGGTAGATTCGATGAATCATTATGTTTAAAAACAAACGTTTGTGGGGATGTAAATTCGTGGGTAAAGGTGACCCACAAAATCCACGAGCATTAGTCCCCCAAGAACAATGATGATTCCAGAGTAGATGGATTGACTACTGTTCAAAATGTATGAAGAATTCTGGGAACCATATTTTTCATAGAAAAAAAACACCATTGTTTTTCGACCCCCTGATTGCCACCCCCCCCCCTCCAAGGAAGAAAATACAATTTAGGAAACCTTATTGCACATCTACAGTACACCACCAATCCAATTCCTAAGGATGAGTTAGCTGCTACGTAAAATGCAAGAGAAATACGTTTAGCTTCTGCTCAAAATGTAAGATGAGTTCAGGGAACCAGGTTTATGCAGAAAACATTGTTGGTGGTCCAGTTGGCCTACCGGATGAAAATGAAATTCGGAAACCTTATTGTAGATCTGAAGGACACTATTAAAAAATCGAAAATCATATTCAAAAAGGTGATTTCTCTACTGTATAAAATGTGAGTTCTTAGAACCAGGTTTATAGACAGAAAATGAAAATTTTGAAATATTGCACATCTAAACAGGACACCACAAATCATATTCAAAGAAATGAAATGCCTACTTTTAAACTATGAGGAGTATGTGGGAAAAGATTGTTTAAATGTCCTACAAATGGACCGAAAACAAAAAAAACTATTCCGAACTTTTCTTTGTGTCAACCAGTTTTTGAGGTACTTTTCAGTTGGCAGGATTAGACAACATTCGAGATCATTCGGAACACCACTCAGACTTTTCCGTCAAGTCGAGAAAACTCGACTTGACGGAAAAGGTCAAGTGATGTTGCGATTGCATTAAAAGGCTTGTATTCGTACTTCTACATCCGAGGTTTTTTTTCTCTCGAATTGATGGAAATGGCCGAGTGATGTTCCGATGGAGCCAGGATTAGTAAACATTTTAAGCAGTTGAATTTACTGAAAGGGACTTCTTAAAGTTTAGATCGTAATAGGCAAGATTGTGGAATACACATCTGGATTACACAAGTTTTAATGTATACTATTTAGTAAATTGGAAAAAGTATCTTTTTTATGAGAAAAGTCTTTAATTCCTCCATATTTTCCTAAATGCAAAATATCATTTATAAACATGAATCTAGTGTCCGTGGCTCCTGCAGCTGGTATCAGAAACCTTGATTTGAACAAAATTTTATTTTTAGAGAGGATAACCATTTCCCCTAGTATATATCCTTATATATAACTTTGTAACGAAAAACCCAAAGACGTGTTTGTGAAACACTGATGCCCCTATATGGCAGCTCAAGGCAAAGGTAAAAGTTGTATTAAATGTAGGTCAAATGGTCAAAGTCAAAAGTTCATAAATATTGATACGCAAAGAAAGGTCTTGTAACACATGTAAAATATGAAAACCCTAACACCAACCGTTCAAAAAATATGGCCAATGTTTAACCAAGATCAAGATCATGAGGTAAAAAAAATGTTGGTACTAAAGGAAAGATCCAGTCACAGGGATTACATAAGTGAAACATGAAAGCCCTAGCACCAACTGTTCGGAAGTTATAGGCAAGGTGAAATATGAGAGCCCTGTCATGTTGTAAATTTTGAATTTACCGGGTGGCAGAAAATTCAAACTTTACATGACAGCCCTGTTCTATTTCATGCACGTCACATGATAGAAATACAGGTATTTATGCACATGTATTCTTCTCAATCATGCAGCTATGTCTTGAAAACTGAAAAGTGAAAAGTTTTTATATAGTCCTATGGTCAACTCTGCATGCAAAAATATAATCCGGTTTAACGTGACCATATATGAATTAAAACAACCGTTTCTGAATAACTTCGGAAAATTGCACATTAATTGATTAAACAGAATATCTTAGCTATAGGACATTTGACATAGTTGGTTTAACATTTTCACATTTCTTTTCCTCCTTGGTTTATTCATCGGATCAGATTAGAAGCGACATTTTTGACAAAGATAAACAAGTTATCAAATTACCTCTTTGATTTCTATTCATGAACCAATATTTTTAAGCTGGATAAGTAGAACTCTTCAAATGAATCTATTCACGCCTTTTTCTGTAGTGTTCTTTTAAGAATCAGAGCTGAGTAGGAGATTTTCTTCTTTATGATCAAAGATTATCTGAGCTTTTGATTGAAAATTTCAGAAAAGTTATCTTTATGTTTTGTTTTTTGATTACTTTGATTTGATTATCTGTCTCTTGGCAGTTATTGCGATTTCAAAAAATCTCAAACATTCATTTATGTTCCTCACTGAAGAATCCAAAGGTGAAATGCACAGATCTAAAATTTCACCCGATATTCAAAGAAATCCTGATAAATTACTGCTATATGTCTATCGTGTTCTAGTGTTTGGTACAGAAGTTTCAGTTAGTTACATTATAATTTATGAAATGCCGTTTACAGATGTTATTTAACCGTTGGCTAGGTAAACTCATCAAAATACACTGGCCTATATACATTTACATTTATAAACAATTAGTTGTTAGTCTTTTCTAGTCGTAGGAATAAAGCTGAATACAAATTTACTTGTAAAAAAGATTATAATAAATCTATGGCCATTGATAGCCCTGATGTAATGTTATCTGCAAAACGCATATTATCAAAATCCGTCACGTCCGCATCTTTGTAAGGTTTAAATTAAGCATTTTAATTTCATGATTATGAAATAATGATGCATTTGTAAAAGTTTGGAATACATACTCGGATGCGGACACATACAAAAATGCGTGAATACACAATAACTATGCAAAAAAAAGAGAGAGAGAGAAAAAAAAACTTTCCGGAATACTTCCCCGGTTTTTACTTTAACTATTACCAATCGCTCGCGCTTTCTGCCAAACTAATACAAATTCTTTAAAGTTAGTGTCCCTGGACATATGTTATAGACCATGAAATTATAAATCGCTTTACTTTTTTCACATTTTTACAGGGCCGATTTCGACACATGACGACTTTTGTTCTTTAGAATATTGCAAGATAACAAATAAATCAACAAATTGGACTTGCATGTTTATTAATCAGAAGATAAAAATAAATCAATTAGGAAACAAAATAATCCAGAGGCATACATTATTAGCTTATTCAAATATTGTATTCCAACAGCAGTCAACTACAGATTAAAAAAAATGACGGCAGTGCTGGTTCCGAAATAATGTGATCAGCCATTATTTTACAGTAAGACCTATACCTATCTTTCAAATCTGATTAAAATGTAACACCGGTTTCTGTGAATAAATACATCAACAATCAAATACAAAGTGGTTCTTGTTACAATTGAGTAAAACGTTCAAAACACCAAGCTACCAAATGAATTAAATTCAGTAGGGGAAACAATCTGTTGATTAAATAATATGGCAGCTTCTTTATTTAAAAAAAAAAAAAAAACTCCCAAACAAATAGAGGTTAATTTATATCATTAATGTCTAAAAAGATTATTTTTTTAATTCAAATTCATAGCACAATCGATCATTTCAAAATTAAAGAAAAAAGAACAAAAGTGAGGTAAAGAGAAAAACAAACAAATTTTAATTTGATTTTGCTGGAATCACTTTGAAAGTACAAGGTTAAAATGTGACCGGGATATATTACAGACGACTGTCGTATTCTAGTAGCTGAGAACAGTGCCAATAACACGGTTTTACTGTGCTCTTTCTTTCGAAGTTATCAGAACCAAGAATATTTTCTAAAGAGCGTCAAGAAATATGGTCATACTGTTCGCTCACAACTTACAAGTCTTTCAAGATTTCGTTCAATAATACAGGACTAAAATGAGTAACATTATCAAAAAGTATTGAACTTAGCAGCATAAGATCCGCCCCTGGGCTGAAAAGGTATGGATGTAGCAGCTAAATTTTAATACAATAACAACCGATATACAATATGAAACAGTTATATGTTTACAACAATGATAACAATTCATATATCTAATAGGGGAAACATGGAACAACACAAAAACCCGTAATTCTTTATACACACTCGGGAAATTTCTGCACTGCGTTTGCCAACAAAGACAAATTAAAATTTTAGAAACATTAGCACTAACTATTAGACACTACAAGCTGCTTGCACTAAATGTAGAGCGAGTAAAACAAGAGTTTCATATTTTTAACAGCATATGGTGACAAAAAGTCGTGAAAAGTTTTCAGAAATGCACGGTGTATTTGCCCAACGTTAGCAGTGCCACTCAGCTAATAAATAGGTTACAGATTAACATTATTATGACTTTTTTCACATTAAGACAAATGAAAACTTCTATGATACACCTTTCCCAATGCTGATAGACCTATGGCAGCAGTAGACCACGGAGAAAAGTTAACTTCCTGTGATATATCTCATCGCCATCAACAACCGATTTTACTGAAGAGACATCTTTTTTAGACACCTTTGGATTTCTATGATAACATGCGAATTGCTTGAAGCATTGGTTATTAATACTACATATTCACCAGTTATATACAGCACCTGTGAACAACAAAACATCATTTCGAGGTATATTATGTCCGCTTGAATTATTTCAACTATAATATGTCTGTCCCTCATTGAATAAGTCCAAGAGTTGCGGGGGAATATCACCTTGGTGATCAAGCCGGATGCACAACACGCGCTCTGCATGACGGGTACTGATAGTGCGCAGATCCGTTACTTTCATGAGGATCTTCGCCCAGTGCACTGGTTGGTGAGGTCGGTTGGTCGCTATATAACGCTTAAATGCTCCAAGTACGGAATCCTGGAGTTTTTCTACAGCTTCCGGTTCTTTTAAACCCGAGCGATCTGAAAAGATTTACGGCTTTCTTAAAATTCACGGTCTAAAAAAAACATTTCTCATGAAAAAAAATCATATTCTCTTAATATTACGAATTTGCTAGGTAGATATCCTTTCAAACAGTAAGATTTCTGTTTTCTGTTGTATTGTTTTGAATAAAAAAATGAATTTGCTAATCTTACCAGACTGCATGAGCAAGACTGCTGCAAGTAACGCAAGCTCAGTTTTGTCCAGTTTTAATTTCGACAGACCAACAGCAAATTCAAATATTGGTTCTACAAGGAGGCCAAGTCCCTCTGATTTGAGCTGCGATTTGTGTAGACAGACACCATTATGCATGGTGATGGTCTCTTTCTCTGGATCGTACCGACAGGCGGCGCGCAGACACATGATCTCCATACAACAGGACTTTAATAACAGGATCTGGTCGTCCACAAACAACTAAAATAAGAGAGTATTAAGTTTTATTTAAAAAATGGATTAAGATCCCGATTGGGTTGTATCCGATAAAATATGACAATAAGAAATCCACAATTCGGTTGAATTTGAATGTATACATCTTCTTTATTGTGAAAGAACGAATCTCACAAGTTGTTCGTCCAAGGACTAAGTTTACTAGAAGTGAGAAGTGAGGATGACAGATTTTTCTTTGGTGTTATAACTTCTACAGGTGGAGACTGCTTTTGTTATCGATGATGTTTTTGATCATTAACTCTTTATTTGACCCTTCTATGTCTTTTCCTTCACGATTAATACCCTGACACCATTAGAGAGCATTACTCTTTGTCTCAAGGTTTTCTCTCTTTTATTTGCAATACGTTTTGTGTGGGTCCAACTTCTTTAAAATATTTGTGAAAGTATCGACATACTGTGGACCTCTTTGTATAACCCCTTGTACATTTTTTTTTTACCATGGCTGTTTGTCGTGCCGAGTGAATTGAGTAGCCATTCCATCGATTTCCCTCTCCCTTTATGCTAACAAGGTCAGGACAGGCAATTAACATATATATCATATTACAGGTGCCTTTTGTAAATGTGGAACGCCGCTGTTCAGACAGCGGACGTTGAATATGGAAATTGTATCTTGTTCTTCATTATATAGAATGATTTGTATACTGTCAGACTTAATTTTAGTCCTTGTAAATGGCCCGGAACCACTGACATATAGGAAAGTTAAAGAAGAGAAACGCCATTTTTATTCGCCATCTTTGACCGTGCAGAAACAATTTCTTGACGTTGCTCTGGGAATGGAATCTTTTACCTTTTAAAATATATATCTTATGTATGTCTTTTCCTTTCCTCAAAGTCTTATAAACCTTCTTCGCTAGATAACGATGTATTTCAGCGATGCGATTAACAAGTAGTACATAATGCACATAGGATGCCCAGATCATGTCCGAGATTGAAAAAAAAAGTTGGCAGGGTATTTCGGCCAAGGAAAATAAGGCCCTAAATCCAAATAAAATGGCATAAACAAAATATCTCTTAACATTAAGTAGCAGGTGCGCTAAGTTGGAGTTCTGGTGTGTCCCTGACACGTAATTGTTCATCAGAAGATTCATCCATAGTCTAAACAGCTGTATGTGGCTGCCAAAAGTCATGATAAATCACTACATATCGACCAAACGGATACCAGTACGTCATCAGCTTTGCAAATACACGGAATGTGATAGATGGTGAATCTCAAAAATAATTTTTATTTGAATAGGAAAATGAAAACACTCCTATTTCTTATAAAAAAATATCAAAGGAGGCACAACAAGGTGTGAGTGTTAGGCAGGTCTTGTTCCTTCGTTTCCTCACGATATTTCATGGTTACAAATATACATAAGAAATTAAAGGCATTACATAATCATATACTTTCTTACCTGGATAAAGCCTGGTACATTTTTGGCAAATTCCACAACTTTGACAATAGATGGCGTCATGGCTTCTGCTAACTGTTGCCATGCTTCCGGGTCCGAAGAGGGTAAGCCATCTTGGGTCTGCTATGGATGGATTGGAAAGTATTTTAACATTTTTCTCAACATGCAAAGATAGAAAATTTGACTTTCAACAGATAAAGTCGCATCGAAATTCAAAATACCCTTTAATGAATGTTTCATTTTCATGCTTTTTTAGTAAATAAGAAAAACAATACTTATACAAAAATTAAACAAAAAAAGTTAAAAAACAAGAATTCTCTTTCTTGATTACACTGGTCAGTGGGTCGAGCACAGAAAAGCCATCTGAAGGAAATCTAGAATTTTAAAAAATGATGACGATTCTGGCAAGCTCAGTTCAACTCAAAACAGAAAGGTTTTGATCCTACCATTGGTTCTTTGATTGGCACTTTGACAGCAGTCTGCTCATAGGCTGACGTCACTTCCGCTATAATTGTTTTGTCCGTGTCTGTAAGCGTATCATGATTACATCCTTCCGCCTGCTTTGTCTTTATTTTTGTGGTTTCTTGTTTTCTTTTTACTCTATTATCCTCTATCAGTTTTCTCTTTGCCTTTCTTTGCTTTTCATTTAAAACAACTGAAAAGGTACGATAAATATATATTTAGATTATTCATGTAAGTGCATGCTTAATACCAGTATCTATAACTACGGTTTTACTACAAAAAGTACACTTTTGAATTCTAGCATTATATAATAAGGATAAAACAACTCCAGAGATCTTTCTGTCTACATGTTGTTGCCTTTTGTGATAGTTATAGATTTTATTATTGGAATAAAACTTATTTCAGGCACAGACTTTGCCTTGAACAAAAATTATCTATGGTCAATATGATGAACCATCACAAATGACATTACCAGCGGGATATTGAACTGATACGTAGGCTTACTGCCTCCTCGGAGAGAAAAGGAGGGCAATGCGCGGAGGTCAAGATGACCCAAGCCTATAATGCACGCAGTATGTAATGTATTTATATCCCGGTATTTGCTCTCTGATCACGTGGGTGACCTTAAATCAACTTGTCGATAAGAGCTGTGACCTCAATCGGGGTTAAAACGACCGGCTTTGGTTGGTATACACCGCAGTATTTTCGTGTTTTCCAAACGTGCTTGAGTACTTTGGTAATGCTCTCAGTTCCTTTGTATACACAAATCGTTTTAAATATTTAACGTCTTCTTTTTAAGTAGTATGTCAAAAGACCCTAGAGAAAATAGACAATACGTACAATTGTAACAATTTTCAGCTGTTTGAACAAGCGAACTCCAAAATTCTGAAGCTATTTTTTCTTTTTTTTTTAAATCTGAAAAGATAGATCATATAGCACATTATCTAGGTCTTTATCTATGACTTAATCGGACCCAGTTTAAAAGGTGTCAAGGCTTGTGGCCTCTATGTGATAAATGGGACAATTTGAACTGGCATATGGTAAATATTGGCGATAAACGACCCCGTTTTACCTAATGGTGCATTGGTTGCCTGGCAACTATCGAACGGCGACCTTATTTTTAGGACACTGGATGGACTATCGATTTTTCTACATACAATTTGCTGGACTATGCAAAAATATCATAAAGCACACATTCTTATCGCCCTAATACTGTTGTATAAATTGGCGGTTTAAATACTGAGCGAAACACTGATCTGAATGTTTGGGTAAAAGCACAGAAGTTTTATTAGCGTAACCGTATTGCTGGCTTGCAAGACACAGAAGGGCAGTATTGGCGGCATTAAATAAGCTGTGTTTTTAATTAACTCTTCCAATCATTCTCACCAACTATACAGCTGTTTTTTCCTCGTGTTAAAAAGGTGCAATGTTATGGGAGTGGGGTTTAACATCAGAAAAACTGTTAATGACAGACTCTTAACAGAAATGATCCCAAAGTACTTTAAGGAAAATAATCACCGGTGATTGACATTGATAGTTGGGGTTTGTATCAGAAATCGCAGCATGTAGACAGAAAGTCCGGAAAAACAGGCACATTCTGATTAGGAGCAGGCAGCAGGTGCATTAATTCGTGAATTTAGTACTTACGATCCGTTGCCATGCCAACATTTAAGCATTTTCTAAATCTACACTCTTGGCACTGGTTACGAGAGTTTTTATCGATCGAACACATTTTATTCCACTTGCAGTGATACTGTAGATTCTTTTGAATTGTACGGCGGAAAAAGCCCTGAAAAAGAGAAGGAAAAATTAATTATACTTAAGAGTCAATTTACTACATTTTTAGCAGCAATTTTAAGATGGTCAGCGTTAGCGTCAAAAGATTTGATCAATTGAAAGATGAAAATCTAAGACATTTACGACTACAATACCAGCCTTACAAGAAACCATAAATATAAAGGGGGGAATCGCTCAACCGCAACGAAGACCAGCTACATGTAAATTTGTTCCACATCGTCGAACAAAAGTTGCCCTAAAGTTCCAAATCTTAAAATTTTTTCTTAGTACAAAGTATTTTACATTAGGATGCACATTTTCTCTGTCGTGGGCTCAGGGTCTTGTTTAACACTTCATGATGCATTAGCGCACGAACAGTGGTCCATTGTTACTTGGGTGAAACGTACATGTACGGATAGATTGGGCAAGTTAAAGCGCAGTATGTAAAATGTTTTCCTCATATTTTTAAAGAAGAAGGTTGTAAAGACATATCACGGACCATTTTAGTATTTGATTGGTATTATAAATTGTCAATATTGCATCAATCTCATCCATTTTACGTAAACACTCGTATCAAACGATGATGCAACATCCTCTACTTCATTATTTTCTAAATACCGTGTAAATCTAATGATTTTGACTGTTTAATTTCTTTTGTGTAACTTATAACACTGACACTATTGCTCTAACGATAATTTTTTTTTAAATTTTGCTCTTAATTTGTCTAAAAACAGATTTAAAAAGAAAATGTAAGGCGAGTAAAATTAATTGTAAAATGCGTTATTTTTTTATATTTGGTGAAAAATACGTACTTAACATCCATTTAAAATATTTGCCGTATACATGCTCTAGAAAACGTAAATGAAGCCGATTTCATATTCTGCGGATCATGGATGATCTAGCAGTATCAGCTAAAGTAACTTACTAAACCTTTTTGTCTTTTGGTCAGTTCGACATTTTAGTTGATGAAGATTTTCCAAGAAAAGCAAAAACGATATACACATGTACTATTGAGTGGATTTTTTTCCCGATTCGACCAAAAAACATAACCATCTCAAAGTCCTTCTCCTTCGAGCTCTGTTACGGTTCAATAATTTGCATTCAGTGTTTTTTATGCTTTTTTTTTGGTTGATATTTCAGAATTTGGGGTGTCAACAACTTCAGAAATGTTCTTAGTGTGCACAGTCTTTACACCATTGAGGACCTATACGTCTGGCTCAAGATGGCGCGTAAGGTGACTTAAAAGACTTCTAGAAGACACATTTAAGCATGCACCTAAGCCTCGTTTAACCTACATGCACCTTTGATCACCCTTTAAGGAGTTGGACATTGCTTAACGGTAACGTGTCTTTCCTATGAGCCGTTTCTAGGCCATGCTTAAAGAAAGTGGTTGACCTTGTGAAAAAAAAAATTATAAATGGAACCCCTATAAATCAATTACATGTATATAATCAAAAACATTGTAAGATTTAAACAAAAAGAACTTATTCATGTTGGTTGTGTAAAAGTGGTTTTAAGATGTTTTAAAGAAGTTTTGACATCAAGAATATACACGTTTAAGCTGCATTTTAAAAGATGGCTTAAGAAAATTAACTTCTTTAAGCTCCTAAAAGCCACTTTTAAAGCCATCTTTAAGCGAATGCTTTTAGACCTGTGTGTGAACTTCTGGCTCCAGGGCCAAAAAAGTCAGACGAGCTCACTTTTGATCTCAGTCTCAATTTTACCAAAGAAATTAATAGCAGAAAAGTGAGACTGAGATCAAAAATGAGCTCGTCTAACTTTTTCTGCCCCGGAGCCAGGTCTGGCTACTGAGACGTTGGTTTTTTTGAGATTGACATTCACATTGGAGACCTATCAATAGCTACATGTATGTGCTCGCACCTTTTTGTTTATAGTACGTGCATCCTTAATTTTGACTTTCTACTGATCATCCAGGAAAAATATACATTCACTAGAACTGCAATGCATTCTTTTCACACAGCGTCTAGCACATAAAAATTCTTTTCACCAGCCGTTACTTTATTTTAAAACAAAAAAAAATTTAAAAGTCTTTTACTTAAAAATTTTTTTGGGGTCAAATAACTAGAAAATGAGAGACCGCATAAAATGAAGTACATGTAATATCAACTATAAATTAGTTGTTTAAACATAAAACAGGCATTAATTTAATGAACTTACGAGGTAATTCAAGTGTTTGACCAAAAAGATTTATACACAGCAACATGATTTTATATACAATGATATTGATGTTTGTAGAATTCCGTGAGCTCTGCTAGAAATTATATCCCTGGTTGCTTTACAGGACACAGTCACATAAATGTACTCACATTGATTCTCGCGCCGGCTTTTCATACGTTTTCCCTAGCGTTATTTATACGTTTCGGTGTCACCAAAATAACGATGGACCACAGAGCCACAGCATGGTATAAATAGTTGTAACATTCATTGCGACATGTGCCCAACATAGCCACCGACTTTTCTGTTTATATCAAATGGCATGTTTGGTCGACCTGGTTTATAACATCCATCCATAGGAAAAGCGTTTGAAAATGTCAATAACAGACTTCCACATAGAACTATCATGACTATAAAAATATTCCGACAACCAACCGTTACTAAACCCAAGAGGCGCTAACAGATCAAAACGGATTGTTTTCCGAGAAAAAATATTATAAATACTATTAAATACATTAACTATGTTAATGTTATATTTATTAGACATCCCTTTTTGATAAAAAGATTATTGAAACATTATACTCTCTAGTGACTCCTTGGTTCAGTGACCTATGACATAAAATGTCAAGGCAAATCTGAGGTACCATAAGAATGGTTAGATGAACCACCTTTTAAGTACGTTAAATATTGTATTATTGAAATGTACGTTATCGTACGTTTCATTGATTGAAAAGCAACTTGCATGAAAAAATTACGGATTGATGAACGAAGTGGATGTCATAATAAATAAAGAAATTCTTCAGTGGATGTAAATATAGCATGATATTCAACTTCTAAGGTACTGGCTGAACATGTTCCAATGCGGAAAAGACACTTAACACCAAATACATTATTTTCACTAGGGGGATACATATAGAATAACCTTGACATACCTTGCACCCTTCACATGTCATACAGCGATAATGATACCCAGTGGCGGCGTCTCCACAAACAACACAAGGTTCTGGTCCATTGCTAAGGTCCATATAACTTGGGATATACGGTGCCCCTGAAATCAAGAAGAAAAATCTTCTACTGAACTTGTGTCATTATCAAATTTACATTATGATTTCATCTGGATGATCGTATTATACTATGTGTTTAATTCAATCAAATTTTGATTTTTCAAATGGACTATAACGAAGTCAAATTTATTTTTTTCTCTCTGAATTTGAATTTTTAAATATCTGAAGATGATGTTGTCTGCATGACACAACTATTGAGGATGCAACAATTGGCGTAGCAGATCAACCAGTAAAAAATAATATATATCATAACATAGCTTGTCATTAGATTCATTAATGTTAGTTTTAAAAATATTATGGAATTCTACATTGAAAATGCAGCATAAATATTGATAGCACTAGCAGTCATCCATAGAAAATGCTTAGGAGTTTAATCAATAGGCCTTTGAGAGAGTGCAACGCAGGGCAATGAACTCGACAGTCAAAATGGCGCCCGGCAGGATGTCGGGAAACAATACGTAACACTACGTAATGATCAGTTTGACGAGATACGGTGAAGGATGGTAGTCAAGACAGTGAGTAGTGTTATCTATTTGATTTCTTTTTTAATATATAGTATTTAGTTTCGGTTTTCTACTATGCATGTATTACTTGTTACTTCATAGGAAACATCTATTACAGAAACATAAGTATCTGTTTGTTTTGCCCCATTTTTAAAGATTATTTTTTTATAAAACAGATTTTATTTCACATTTTGAAGGAAGTTCATGTCATAAACTTTAATTTCACGGGGAAAAATTATATGCACATGACTTTGTAAGGAATAAAGGAGTATTGCATAAATACAGTTCCACGGACGGTCATTGAAAGTCCAAAGGGTCTTTGACCTATGTATTTGGTTTTTACACTTTAAGTTTATATTAGATGCCAGTATCTAGTATATCATAGTTTCTTTCAGAATGAGATTAATCCACATTGCATATATGCAAACAAAGTAAATTTTCTTTCTCGTCATGAGTAATGCATGTAACTAAAACTATTTATCAATTAAATGTATTTAATACAAACTAGGGTAAAATTACAGAATGATTTGTTGATGTCGTTGTTGTTGTATGTGACTGACCGGCACGTGAATACAAAGTAAGTCTTACTGCAATATGCATGATGATAGATTTGCACAACACAATTCCACATATGCGTATCTAAGGGCTCCTTTCTTTGCCAAACGGTTCTTAAATTTTAGCCATCCAAGTTTTTTTTTTTTGTTTAGCCCCCCTTCCTATTGTTAAAAAACACACACACAAAAAACACAATCCAAAATGTAAATCACACACTTTATAGTCATGATAACAACGCCATTCAGGATTTGATTTCATCATTCAATTTTTCTCGTAGAAAGACGTTTTTTGCCAAAGGAAGGTGACGTGTACACCTAATATGACTTTCTACATTGAAAATTTGAATATCAATTTGTGGACTATTAATTTCGAGTGTTTTTCTGTGTTTCGAAAACCAATGCAAACACGGGCGTTTAAAACCATTAAAAAAATGGAATGACATCAATTCAGGCCATGTTTGGTGCGGGTTTATTGTAATCTTGGATGTAATATATATTTAAAGATCATCAGATTATTTAACCTTGGACTACTATCATGTGAATTTTGAATTTACCAGGTAGAGGTAAATACAAAACATGTATGTTGTAAATTTTGCATTTACCTCCATCTAGTAAATTCAAAATTTACAACGATACTACTGTGTTAATTTTCAAGTAAAGGATACCACAAAACAAACTATTTCTCTTCATATTTCGTCATGTTATTATTCAAAGGGTTTTCTATAGACTTGTTCCTTTAAGAGCTTTCTAGTTTTGGAAATTAAAATATATTAAGAAGAAATTTCAACAGCGAATTTTTTCATGAACCTGGCATGCTTACTAGTACATATACTAGTACGTGATTACCATTATGGTGCATGCAGACAATGGACTTGTATTAGAAGTTGGTTGTTGATTCAATGCTTTAAGTTAAACGTGTGACAAGAATTATGAATCATGTTTCCAGTCTCAAATACAATTTTATATTTTAACATATTACTTGTCTCTGTTTTCTTACTATCAGCGAAATTTTGTTTTGATTAAAATACCCCCCCCCCCGCGATGTACATGCATGTATTTTAAGTTGATGGATATTTGGTGAATTTGATGCATATTTTTTTTGGGGGGGGGGGCTCATTAATTTATTACTCCGGCTAGGAACTAGAGAAAAAGCAATGAATATGCGAACTGAATTTATTGGGTTGATGTATATGTATAAAAGCGTCTGAACTTAAATCGATGTTTCGTGAACGAACTTCCTTTAAATAACTATATTTTCACATTTGTATCCTGATGATTTTTTCCCCTTAAAATCTGGATTCTTGTTGGGAAAAACAGATGGTTTTCTTGAAGGTACACGCGATAAGCAAGAAAATATTAGCAATTGCAACAGATGGTATGTTACAGTAAAACTTCATTCTCTCTGCTTAAGAGTTTTCTATCTGAATACATCAGAAAGAATGTCCTTAAGAGTTTTCAACCTGAATACATCAGAAAGAATGTCATGGGTAGTGTCATACTTAAATGATACTTCCGAACCCATAGAGCTATGTAAGCACAAATACGCTTGGCATTTCTAAGGTCAACAACGCACAATCCACAACTGCTATTTAAAATTATTTTGGGTCAAAAACCCAGAAACCTTTTTTTCATATATATCTAGCACTTAACAGTAGCCTGCGGTCCTTGCTAGACGTTTCTTTACTAATACACATCTGATACATGAATATTCAAAGGAAAGGCAATGTGTCGTGTATGATAAATGAAGAAAGTTCTGTTTTGTCCTGGCTGGGACACGAATAAGCTATGGCCTTATTGCTCACTCTAAAAACCGTTGATCAAATGCAGTGTCCAGAAAGACAGTCACACTGTTTTAAATATAGATAGAAAAGTTGGTCTGGAATCCGTACGCGTATATGTATGTTACAGGTCAAATAACGTGATACAGTAGAGTACGTATGTTTTCTGCAACGAATACCGATAATGATTTTGGCATGTATGACAAACCATCAATTACTTTGAGCAAAACATCCCTTCAACAACCGAGTCGGTTCATTCAGAATTTAAATTGGCTCTCCTCCACGACCGATTCTTGTCTAATTGCATTTCGTACTCAACACAATACCTCGTCAATCGTCTCCCCTTATCCTTATTTTTCAGTGCCAACACTCCGCGTCACGTAGCTTTCTGCAACTCTTATCTTTCAAGTTCTTGCACAGCGCCCTCATTATGCAACTTTTCTGAAACTAACGGTTGCTTTTATTGACATGACAACAGATTTATAGGCGGAATGCGGATTCATCAATTACAGTAAACGCTGATTATAACATAAACTAACTTTTATGTTCTCTAAATCATAGAAAAGTTCTGCCGTGAAATCTGGAAAACGATAGATTTACGATTCGGACTTCGAAAACCTGGGTCATTGTACCTTATTGAAGGGGGATTAGGGTGTTTGTTTAATGATAATTCTACGTGGGTTACTCAATTTCCATGACGTTGTCTTGAAAGAAAACTAATCTAGACACTACAACAACGAAATAAATGTTTTTCCCCGTATTCTTCCTTAAAGTTGGTACACCTAATTAGTTACTTCGATAAGTTATTCCCCCAAAAATAAACCACTGGAGTACACACATATATGCGTGTACATGTATATAAAAATTTTAATTTACTTTGAAGTCTTTGCTCCAGAAATTCAGTCTTAAAATTCGGAGATTACATTTCGTTTCACTCGGTAATTGCGAAAGATTTAGTGATTAATCCTATTGAAATTTGGATCTCACAAGTAATTAGATTTAGGAATGAAAATGTGGTAACCGTTTGGCGCTGCTCAGAATAGGATGCATAAAGTTTACATTGGGCTTCGGGAAAAAAAGAATGACTTGCATATTTTATTCTCTTTTAATTGTTTCTTACATGTAAGGAAAATATAAACAAAATAAAAACAAATCAACCCAACTAAATAAACAGCCGACAAACAAGCAAACACCTTTTCTATGAATATATAATTTTAAAGGAAATTCTAGATCAGTCTACGAATTGTACAACCTCGAACCACGTTCAGTGTTCATAAATATATTTCGCCTGTAGGTGTTTATGGATTAATTCTGTCGGTATAGTTCAGTTTGGGTCACATATGATTTGTGGTGCAAATAGTTCGGTAGGTTATTTGTATTACCATCACTTATATTGTCAGCTGTTGTGCAGAAAAACATGCTATTCTTTGGCAATCCCTCAAAATGTATTACTGCATATAAATATCCCCGTTTTATTCATTTCATGGGTTAAACCCATAAATTTCCAAAAATAATCAAATGCCTTGAGTAAATGTCTTTTTTTTCATGACAAGAGTCAAAAATTAACTATAAAAACATTCATTTGCATGTTTAATGGGGTATGGCAAACTCATTTTCTTGGGTTTTCCAAAATTCGTTTGGTCGGGCTCCTTTGGAATCTTATCTTTTTATGCTTTAGCATGTCAAAAGCAATGCTAAACGATCTCCATCTTTTTATTTCAGGCTTAGCCCTGAACTTAGGCGGTCTTGGCAATAGTGATCGAAAAGATATATTTTATGGCCGATTTTTGAGGTACAGCTGTCCAGCTCTTTTGGATCCAGTGGGCATTCTGACCTCAGCAAGATCTCCTACCGCTGACAAAGATGAAAGACGCCTTCCAATTGGTCTAACAAAAGTCAACCCGACATGTCAGTGATTCATTTTTTCCCCTATTGTCAAAGTTTTTTTTTTTCTTCTTTGAAAATGAAAAATGGTTGACCGTTTGTATCTGACCCTTTAAATCCATTAAACGGACGGAATATTAAAATATCATTCAGGGTTTTTTTCAGTTCAGGAATATAATATCACGATTAAAAAAATACGAATAAAACTTTCATGAATATACATGTAATACCCTTCCGTTTTCAAACCAAGCTTTACTTTTCATATCCCATGAACAAATTTTTCATAGACCTGAAATAATGCAATACTCTTTTCCCATTTAATGTTTTGGGTTTCTTTTCTAGTTAAATGTAAAATTCGGTGAACATTAGTCTTTTTATTCGGCAGGTGCGTTCAGTTGAAGATGTTTCTTGGCAACAAAAAATTTGCCTGTCGTATACAATTGTTGACCTTTACCCCGGGCCGTGACACCGCCACACAAAAGATAGGTATATAACTTGATACATAATGTAAACAAGTGGACTAGACAATCGACTGTTTCGATGACCTTAATTAGTGCGCACCTGCGTGGTTTTGGCCGCTCGCGGGTCTGCTTTGGACAAAGCGTTGGACAAGCTTACGTAGATTCTCAGACGACCTCTTAAATGTAACTGTCGTATTTCAGAAAATTGATAGACACAAAATGATTTTTGAACAAGAGCAATAAATAATCATTGTCCCTACATCAGTACATACTTATATATCCATTGTAATATTTTCTTTTTCAATTTTTAAAATCTTTGATTTAAAAAAATATAATATATATTAATTATTACATAGTATAAAAAGACCACGGCCTGATTCCCAGGAAAATTTTACACGTTTGCCAGGTACAGGAAAGAATATTGAATAAAAATCGATTTACACCATCAGTGTCAAAGTCCACGGTAAAACTCCATACCGTCTCGACCGTAAACATGTTATTACGTTAGTTGGACTAATTAAGTCTGAAGTATTAAACATGTCCAGCACCTAGGACTGATTTCCATTACGGAGTGCAGCTGAAAAGGGATGGAGCTCATTATTATTCCAATACCTTCATCTCATTCTTGTTTAATATTTATATTTCATAAACGTAAAATTATTGTAATCTAAATATCACGAAAGGGGAGGGGGGGGGGGCTTATAGACAGTGAGTCTTGAAAAATGGGTACAGTTAAAGCCGGGCCGAAACCGGGTTTTTGCTCATTTGTTCAAAAATAATTTGTTTGTTCTTCATTAAATTCGCAGACATGATAAAAAGGAGTAAAATACGTTTTGTGTGCTCGATCGATTGAATAAATTCAGTTACTAAAAAAATGACACCTATTGTGAAAGTATTATATCTCTATTATTAAAAAAATGCATTTTTTCATTACCAGGACTCACCACAACTGGAAACGTTCACTTGGGTCGAAGTGCAAATTTTCACAATAATCCTATTAATGTTCAAAATTAAACCGATTTCTTCGATTTTTTCAAAAGATACTGATCAGTTGACACTTCCATGACATTTATCAAGTTCAAACGTCGTGGTACATGTATTTTTTTTTTTTTTTTTGGTATCATTTTCTTTATGACATTTACATATTATTATTATTCGCGATAATTATCATTCTGCAACTAAACAGTTCATCAAAAATATGCGTTTTTCCAACCAATATCCATCGAGCTAGCTGTGCAAATAATACCCTACTTAATACCAAATTAAAAGTGAGAAAATTAAATTCTCGGTGATCTTTATCGTTTTTTTTTTTTACTTTTACCAAGTATTCTCTTTATCTATCCTTCTCCGTTTTCTATTTCGTCATCATTTCGAAACTGTGAGAGAAGACATATGCAATCTAATTCAAATTAGATCTTCCATCCGCTCCCAGGTTTTTTTTAAACGTATTTAAAAAAAAAAAATTGGGAGCGGATGGAAGATCTAATTTTATTTAGATTGAGACACATTTTAACTCTATTTCGTGAGAAAGAACGAGCAAAAATCCGGTTTTCAGTTTCAAAAAAACGGGTCAGGCATATGTTTAAACCTTATTACACACTCGAATATAACAAAATTCAATTACGTTTAATGCATTTTTCACACACTTTTCACACCGCTACCCAATTCTAAATGAACTGACGGTCTAAGTATCTTTTTTTACTACCGAAATTTACTTGAAAATTTAGAGAGCTTACATTCTCTTTTGGTTCTTGGGGTCATTGAATATTATGTATCTTTTCTTACGATGTCATTTTAAATATTTTGCATGAATTCTTGTATGAACAGTAAAATTAATTGAAAAGTCTTTGAATCATTAGCAAGGCATACTTTCAAAAGGAGGAAAGTACTATTATTTTCATACAGAAATAATTATATATTTCAATACCATCTTGAATTTTGAACAGAGCTATTTAAATAATATCAAAGTCATATCTTTCATGTTTTATATTTTATTTTGGTGCTCAAGTTACTCATTTAACTTTAAAATACCATATCCTTTTCAGCATTTCTTTTATATAGGTTAGAAACCTAATCTAAAAAAGAAAATTTTCCATCCATACCTTTCCTCTTACTCGTGTTTGTGGTTTCGCTTCCCCCGGCGTCTGACGAGGCTTGCGACGATGATGGCGATGATGATGAGGTAGATGTCGCACTGGTGGGAGAAGACATGGAGTTTTCTGAATGGGGTCTGGAAGCTGAGGACACTCCAGGGTACAGTTTTACTCCCCCTTCATTACTTTCTTCACTCGTCGACGAAGGTCTTTGTGGTAACACTGGACTGTATTCCGGTAATACGAACGATGGCGTTTGTGTTGTTGGCATCATGGCAGATGGAAAGTAGGGCACAAAACCTCGATTCATTCCGTCGACGAATTCATTATTCTCACTGCCTAACCGAATGTCCATTTTGAAGTAGTCCACGGAGAATGTTAGAGATCGTGGCTGTTTACACCGGTGATTGATATCCCTACCTATACTATCCAGCACTGACCAACTCAAGGACCTCTCTCATCGATCCAGATTCGACACTTTCATTTCATTAATAAAAACACAACTGAAATGGTGGATACTTGTCTTACTGGTTGAAGATGGTGGGGGGCTAGTACATATCCGTGTTTACTCGGCACCTCACACTTGAGTGTCTATGACATGGTCAACAACTATACAATTTGACTAGCCGATGTGATGTAACGCCCCAGCGGTTCAACATGGTCGCGTCCACTATCAAGCATAGGGGATATAGGCCAGTTTACGATCGGTCATCGAAATACATTTTTTATTTTTGACATAAAAAACGACAACAGTATAACTTTACGAGGAACTACGGACTCATTTATATTTTTTAGATGGTATTCTGTCGCATAATGTACAAGATTTTAAGACTTGCTTTTCTTTGTATGACCTAACCAACCCTCGACTTCCTGTCCTCATTCCATCGACCACATAGACTGGTCAGTGTTATGATCTGATCGCGGAGGTGAGGTCAGACTGACCGGTAATGGAAAAGAGAACAACTATACTCTAAGTAGAAGTATATTAGATGAAATTTATTCAAAATTAAATTTTATATAGTTAGTTCATATCATTTAAATATGGTTTTTGTACAAATAATTATTTTTTTATGCACAAGGATTGCTTGAAATTAACTTATTGCTAACCTGAATTCCCCATCACTTTGCAAATGGAATACCCCATCTGTACTAAGGCCATCGAAGGACACGAATTATTAGCAAGTAACCGCGACGGGGTTATAGGTCATTTGCAATTTACTGTAGAATATGTAAACATTAGTACATATAGTGATTAGAATTTACGTCATAGGTGACAAGACTGCAGTTTGTCACATAATTTGCTCCATCGCGAAAGACATCTTGTTATTATACAAGTATCTAGTCAACAAGGTTATTATAATCAATTTACGTCATATACTGCTTTTTAATTAATGTTAAAAACTAGGATAGTTAATTATCTTGCAGCATGATGTCCTAACTAGATATGTTATTTCTGAGTATTCTGTTAATGTAGATTGGCAGTTCCCTGACGTTTCTTCAAAGTGCAGATTAAATGTAAAAATGGACTTTGGACTGTTCGTAGTCATGTGACGAGATGTATTCCCTATACAGCTGTTTATGCAATATTTTTCAGACTTGGAATCATTAAGAGGCGATCAAATCTTTGTTCGGCATTGCATAATGTTGTATCATCTCGTCAATATGACCCACCCGTGATCACGGGCAAACGAAATTTACCTTTATCAGAATGACGTAACAAGTCTGGAGAGCTAATACTCAATCCATGGCGCATTAATTTTCTATGTATACCTGGCAGTGGAACCAACGAAAGGTTACATAATTCATAGAACCTGCTGACGATGTATATTTAACAAAAGACGGACCATAACAAGTTGTGCAACAACCCTTAAACTGTTAAACAGTTTGTTTGTACAGTTTTTGCGGGAACCGGGCAGAATCGTTTCCAGACAGTCGATAATTGCCATGAGAACCTGTTGGCGGTAGATAATGTTAGGACATGTACTAATGCGGACGTCTGTTACCCCTAGCCAAATACATAAAACACGTCAGGACCTCGAACAATAACAGAGACAGAAGTGTCCTGATACTACTGGTACTAAAAAATATTTTGCTTAAAAGCATCCAAATTTCAAAGGCTCTCTTTATCTTTTGAAAACATTTATGTTCCTGAAGTGATGAATATAATCATGCGAAACTTATTGAACTGACACATTGCATGTACATGGCAACGGGTAACGCAAGTAGGATAAGCTGCCTCCTCACCTAGTTCGGGGACATGTCCTAATAATGTATAGCGTGTTGCATTAGATCCCAATCATAAGGCGTCTGTTGTACTCGCTACCATGTGTTTTGTGTAGAGTAAGCATGATCTGTCAAAGATAAATGCTATGTGCAACAATAAAGCATCCGAGAGTGCTCAAAACTTTGAACATGTAGACTATGCCTGTTGCCAAATACAGTTTTGGTTTATGTTGAAATGTAATTTATATTTTAGAATTAGGTTGACCTTATAGACTGATGCGCTGGTTACCTCACAGGAAGCTCCCGTACATATAAAATATAGATATGCACGTGAATGGAACGTAAGGTCTATCTGCAGCATCAGTCTCCCCCCTCCACCCGGCAAGTCCTGATATCATGAAGCAGTCTTAGATTTAAGCCAAAATTTGTACATTGTTTAGTTTTTAATTTTAGAAAACACAAAAATTGAAATGTATACAATGTATAAGAATTAATTGAATCCTTTTCATGCTATTAAAATTAATTTTCATGTACATGTATTAGTATATAATACTGAGTAAATATTCATTTTTTGAATGGCAAAATTTTACTTTATTCTTAGACTGCTCCATGATACTGAGGCTAAGTATTTTTAAAGTTTGAACACATCGAAGAAGGATAAATAAGGTTTTGAATTAACATGGAGATAAATGATCGAGGCAACAAAGGACTAACTTCACAGACACAATCTGGACATTCACCGGCGATAACGCGACGATTACGGTCGACTTAATCTTTCTTATTTCAGACGTCTGAGCACAAATCTCTGCGTCATGCATTGGAGAAGTCATTTTTGCCCAAATTCACCGATATTGTTTTTTACAGAAATTTGCAGAACGGCAATACTCTCAGATGAAAAAAAAAGATTGTAAAGGACATGAGACAATCGAAATGGGGATGTTGAAAATAAAATATTATCCATTCATGATTATGTTTTATTGTATATCAAATTTGACGGAAGAAAGACCCTTCACATCATTGAGAGGGAACATTTATATATTTGTACATTTATATCATTATACAGTGTATACACTCAAAAATTTATATGGGGTACGAACATGTTTGCACATTTGGTCTCTACCAAATTAGGAAATTTAATCAATTTAAATTTGTATAAATGACAAATGAATTGCTGGTATTTTTATTCTTTGTAAACTTGGAATAAATTGATTTCATTTAAAATAAATGATTTAAAAAATACGTTGCTTAAATTTGAATACAGATGTACACATCGTACGAACAAAAATTGCAGTCTATTAAAATATTGAATTGCTTTTGGACTAGTAGTTAGACGACACCGTTAATTAAGACTGAACTGTTTGGGGACCCTCCCCCTTGATGTTTGGAGGTGCATTGTCTGGGTGCAGGGCACAATGACATAGTGACTAAATTGCTTCCCTGCCTGGCCATGTGTCTGCTTTACTTTGTTATGACGGACAGAGTATAATTAGATCGCAGGATACAGTCTTTGTTGTTTGAGTTAGTTGTTTCGTCTTCATTGCGTGTGGCTGAGAACATGTTTAAAGGATGCGAGACCAATAACCGTAGAAGCAGTTGGCGAGATGTATAATTTCATCACGATAGGAACAATACCTTACTCTAATCCAAATAGTCCCTATTATTCGAAAGACAGGTATTGCCATATGCATGACACTAAACCGGAAAATTTATACGGAAATGAAAAATTAGCGAAGTATCAGTGACCTCAACTTGAAATATTTTATTTCAAACTAACATGGTCGTTGTAATAATTTATTTGAAGATAATATCTTTTGGATACTTGAAATGGCTTTCGGTAAAGATAAGAATTATCTTAATCAACGGTAGTTGGCGTAATAGTTCATTTGAAGATGATGTTATTAACATTTCCAAAATAACTTTCTGCAAAGATCACAAATATCTTAATCCGATCTGTGACTGATGCACCGGTCAGACAATAATGGCAAAGATTAACGAGATATGGAGGAGTGAATTTTCATGGCTCATCACAATGTGAATCGCGTTTGTCTCATGGAACATTAGATAACGCTACTCCAATTAACTATTGAAATTCGCATTCGTCACTACGCATTGTTTTGATTCTAAAATGATAATTTTCAAACAAAATTAATGAAGAGTCGATAGATGAATATATATGAATAAATAAATAAATGTAAATTCTTCTTCTTGCAATATTTTAATTTAAAAAAACCCCCATAATTTTATTGAGGAATTCGATGCTGAACTCTTTTCCCGACATTTTAATATGAAGGAGATTATGTCACATTTTTGTAAGCGGGACACCGGTGCATTCTTGATTTTTCTCCTCTTGAAAACAAGCCTGTCATTAGATCTCCCTATATGACAGTCATTCACCAATTGTCTCCAAGTTTGAATACACCTTAGGCCTGACACAGATTCAAGTAGGGATGGGGATAGAGGACAAAAACTTTGACATCTTCACCAGAAAGTTTGGGAGCTGACAATTACCACCGCAAGGTCGCTCTGCTCACCGCATCTTGTTCACTTCTACGCTTTGTCGAAGGGGCGACAGAGCATGAAATTAAGTTTGAAGGACTTGGTCATCTGGGTAGCATTTTTTGTCTGTGAATTCATTTCTGTCACAAACAACAAGAAAAGGGGAACTACGATGTAGTCATTATATTGGAACATTAGTAATAAATAAATTTACACAAAACTAAAAAAAAAAAAATCATGAAAATTTTACACAGTCAAAAGCCAAGTAAACAATACATCTGAATTATGAAAAAATAGAGAGAAATACATTTTTTCTGGGTCTTATGCAATGTTTATATCACAGTAAAAACGCAATACACCAGATTTCCTCTACACTATTAATTAAGAAGATAATGGTATTAAATCACTGGATGTTATGATTTCTGAAATTAGTTCATTGATAAAATAAAATCTGCGAGAAAGGACAATATACTAGAGAGAAATACATGTAAAAATAATAATTTAATTTAAAAAAAAAACATAATGGATCGGACAAAAACAGTGGCAAGTAAATGGTCATTAGAAAATGTCATAACAATTTTAAATTAAGTGAATGCTCACATTCTCTTAATTTATTTTTTTTACTTTAAAGACAATGGAATTTTATTTACATGTACAATCGCATTTTTTTTTTTTTTTTACAAAAGGCTAAAAATGATATTGCTACATACAACGACTTTAGTAAATGCACCTATTGGAAAACCTTAGAACTAAGCGTGATTGATGTCACCATCTGTTCCTTTAATTATTTTTGTAAAAGATTCTTCTGACTACAAAGGCTTTTCTTTGCTACGTCATCACCTTGCCGCATAATTTAGTCAATCCGGGGGTCAAAGTGACCTCTTCCGCACCGAG